AAGAAGCAAACTGCCTAGGATCGAAGTTCTTCGATTGAAGGCACTCCGATGCTTAAGTTAGTAAATGTAGGTATGAAGAAATATACTTAAAAAGATTCAACATACCTCTTGCCATGCATCCTTGTTGCTTTATATAGACTTCAGTAATTCCCTTTGCTGGTAAGGAAGATGACACATCTCCCTTCCAATGGGACTATTTGTTAACAACTGCAGAAATTTCTCTAACGCTTTCTCAATCTTAGCTCATTTGAGCTGTTGACTGCACCTAGCTGTTACAGCTAAATCCTTTGATTGTAGGCGATTATTTTGTTGTTCAGTTTACACCATACCTTCAAACTGTGCTAGGTCCTTTTGCTCGCTTGCATATTTTGAATTGCAATAGCTCAGCTAGGTTTTGACAAGAGTCAAAACCCCAAGTGATTGTTTCTCTATTCACGTGTCTACTCATTCGCGTGACATAATCTTATGCCCCTTCATGTGTGATTACAAATTTGATCTTATTTAGCAATGTAGTTATGTGATCCATTTAGAATGGTTTTCGAAGCAAAGACCAGCCAGTTTCCTCCACAGCTTGTGAGCCACAAATACAATAGACCAACACGCTATTCGAAAGTATTGTAGGTGAATGCACACAAAAACAAGGTATAAAATTATCATAAAGAACACTAATGCATGATTAATTTTGGCTTGCTTCCTGTACGAGCCAACTCAAAAACAAATTTCCTACAAGATCTGTTGAGCCACGATCACGCTTGATAACTAGGGAATGTGTACCTTTTTTTTTTTATCATGCTCCAAATAATTCTAGTGCTTATTTGTTCGTCTCGGGCCTTTTATTTGAATTTTTTTTCCCTTAACTTATTTAGAATGAAAGTCGGCCCCACCTTCTAAAATAATAGTAAAATATGTCTAGGTTTGATTAATAAGATAAAGATGACTTTGTTTAATTATTGCTTTTGAGCCTTTTTAATGGTAAGGTTCTTGTTTCAACCCATAAAATTACTTGATGGAGCCCATAGAATCGAACCCAATGATATTATTAAGGGTGGGAATTGAAAAGTTGCACTAATTGCCCAAACACATAAGAATGGTAGATAACGTTTAGTTGAAAACAAGATGGCAGGACACTTAAATTTGGAGTGTCATGAAGTATAATGTCGTATTCGAGTTCCATCATTTTAGATTTGAGCCAAAAGCTAATTAAGTGTGAAAAAGGACATGAGAATAACCTGCCCAGTTTATTGACTCTCTCATTTCTAATTGACACACATGACTTGTGGACCAAAAATCCAGAATTGGGACCCCTCTCTCTCAATTAAACCCGCTATCCATGGGGACTCACATAATTCTAGATTAGTTAAGAAAAATTAGACATTTTCAACATACAATATTAGTTAAATGGTTCAATTCCTGTAAGATGCTGGCTTGCCCTTAGGTGTTTAGTGTCAAAATCGAATTATTCGTGTTTGATACTAATTTGACTATTTTATTATGTATATTTAGGAAAAGTCAAAAGTTGTCACCTCTAAGATAACTCACGACTCAATTACTAGTATTACAATAGACAGGGCATGTGAAAGATCATCACTACAGCCATCACTTTTAACCAATGTTTTAAAACCCGGCTCGGCCTGGTCCGGCGGGTCAACCCGAAGAACCGGTCCCCTAATCGGGCCGGTTCTAATAAAAAACCGTTTGTGTACTTAACCCGTTATAAACCCGCTGAAGCAGTCAAAAATCGGTGAACTCGTGAAAATCGAACAAATTTCATTTTATAAATCTGAGATTTTTTTCCCTTTTTTTTTTATCTCCTTTTGCTTGTTCTGTTGCCCTAAATTAATTGATCCAGATTCCACACTCCAGTCGCAAAGCCACGCCTCCACCACCAAGCCAACGACAAACCAGCCACGACCACCACATCGCCTCCTCACCAACCCAAAACCTGACCACCCACGGCCACCACCTCGCAACAGCGATCAACAGTCGATTGACCACCGCCTCGTCTCTAAGTAGCAGCGATCAGACGATTCAAATCAGCTCGCCTCCACGGTTCAATGACCAGTGAGTTTCCTTCTTTCAGTCTTTCTCTCTCTCCCCCTATTTCTATCTTTCTCTGTCTCAGTCGGTCAGTCCAATTCCTCTGTTTGGTATTTGGTTACATTGATTGTCCAATTCCTCTCTCTCTCAATTTGTACACACACAAGCGTGTAATTTGGGTCTTTTATTTTGCAATTAGATGAGGTAGATTCTTTAATCAATGGAATGAAATCCAAACTTTATATAAGACAGTCAATTTAAATATCTCATGAATTTCATTGTCACATAATTCATATACAAATATGTTAAAAAGTAAAAATATTGTTTGAAAATTCGATTTGATTCAAAGGACTCAATTAAGTTGAATTTTAGAAAATTTTAGATGAACATCAAGCATTGAAATGATTGTTCAATTTTATCATACATGTAAATACGTATCAAACTATCAATGTAACTAGGATCATATTGCGATTGGAGTGGAAGTTGTTATATTCAAAATTGAATACACTGAAATTGGATACATGTTTGATGATTTTTCTTTATTTAACTTTATATGTTTGATGTTATATTTATAATTATTGTGATTTTTTAGCTTATTTATTATTATTTATTATTTTTTTATTATATTACCGGTCCGACCAGTGACCCAACGGTTAAACCATTGACCCGTTGACCCGGTCTCTTTACCGAATTGATGTCCGGATCGAATTTTAAAACACTGCTTTTAACACCTCATAAGAGGGCAATGGTCCAAACTCCACTAATAAAAGAAAAGACACCCACGTACTCTAATCTCCTTTTACCTTCACAATCACAGGAAAGATCACAATCATTTCTTTCTCTTTCTATTAAACACTGTCCCCGCCTTTTTTCTTTGTGGAAAAGGTCAAGAAATTCCACTGGATAGCCGGATATTATTTGATCCACTGCACTTTAAATTATTTTTTAATTCCAATTTATATATATCTGATCAACCAAAATTTGGTCTTTATAGTGTAATCACCAACTATACTTAGCTGGCTGGCTTTACTAATATTTTAAAGCTTCATATAAATATTCAATTTTTCAAGAGTGCGTTGGGAGGCCACGCAAAGACTGAGCGGCGGTGCCTATCATCATTTCTTCTGGGCACACACATGCACCAATTATTATAGACATTGGCCAAGTGATCAATTTTTAAGATTAAGAAACTCGTAAGTACGGCCCTAACCCTGGAGGATTAGGATCCGGATTCCTATCCCCTAAATTTCAAGATCCCTACGCCCACCTTTTTTAAGAATTTAATTAATAAAACTACGTTTTTTATCCCATTACAAAATGACCACCCATAATGTAGGCTTAGAGTTGACGAATCTCCCCTCCCCATCACTCCACATTGAAACAGGGATTACATTTTGAAGTTCTGACTTATGGTCATGCTAGAGCATATCATGTCTGAATGATTACTTATTTTAGGCCGGAGGACATAGTCCGAAGTTAAAAGAATCAAAGGGAAGAAAAAACACATATTGAGGCCAATGCTCCGTCCAAGTTGAGAAGCAACGCAACGTCAATAACCGGGTTTTAAGCCTTGCCTCTTTATCCCCCAATTACCCCCCTACCCGCAGGTAATACAAGTGCATATCAGCATCTACGAGAAAGGGAGAAAGCGGAAGACGATATGTAGGAATTTCTTTGTTTAGAATAAAGCTTGTCACTTGCTAAAATTATTTTATTTGAAACAACTCTGGTAACAATTTTTGCAAGAGAAGAGCTAAAGATGAGAGCTCATGCACAAACATACACGCGATTTAGCCCACCATGCCTACATCCACCCACCAAAAAACTACATTGATATTATAATTATTATCTAACAATCTGGCAGCTTATTACATGGCATTTAACTCTATATATAGGTTGATGAACTAACATTCAAGATCCCTTAAAAGGACCCAAAACTAAGTTCACGCTCTAAATCCGATTTTCCACCCATTAGACCCCTTAGTCATTGTACCACCTACAATGGTAGTTAGGAATGCTCACAAACCCCGATCCAAAATCAAATGAAGACAACGAGTTTGGTCCGAGTGGTAAATGAGCAAACCATCATACCAATCAATTAAATGGAGCAACACAACATATAGACAATACAAACCTATTGAGAATCATAATGGCCGTACTAGGAATATTAGTATGTATTCGTCACAACAATCTCAGCCCAAACCAAAAATGCTGAGAAGGCTAGCCGAAAGGGATGTATTTGTAAGCACACTGGATTGAGTGCAAAACTTTGTGGCAGAATGCAACACTAGCCAGACAAATAAGATAACTGGCAATACTTTTTAAACCTCATGCTTGATAAAAAGGTCCATCGAGAACAGGACAAGTCGGCCTTCTGATATAAACATACTAAAACGAACAAAATACAGACATCACTGAAGACAAACCTTGAACAAAGATTCCCCACAAATATTTGAATGGATGAGAAGACCAAAACCTAGTCAAATACATATCCATATCCAGCCGATGTACTAAGAACCTTTCAACCAAGCATTATATATAATTTCCCACAAAAGTTCAACCCCAAACTGACACTAATATAAAATTTCTCAGTACAATGAATATTAACATAATTGTTTCCAGGGAAAAATAGATCTTTAAGTATGGAATTAAAAGGGAAAGAAAACCAAGAAAGAAAACTTCAAAATCACACTCCAACTACAAACATCCTACTAAAAGACATGGTTGAAGCACCGATATATGTGAGATGAGGTTCATAACACACCACCGTCGAAGACATAAAAACAAGAACACGAACTGTTCAGGATATGATACATCAAAAATCATTGTATGACCTCCTTTCATGACCTACCACCAATACTTCTCCATGCCCGCCACACTGAGTTCATATGAAATATAACACGAAAAGCCAACTAAAGCAGAAAACAGAATAAAAAAAAAACTCACCATCAAAGCAATAGAACTCAGAAGCACTTCCTGTGGACAATGGATGGACCAGACTCGTCATATTCACCCTTGGAAATCCACATCTGATTCAACACAAAGCATGCATGTCAATCCAAAGCCAGTGAATAATTCATTTTTTTGTGAACAAACAATGAAAACCTCAAATAATTACCTGTTGGAAGGTGCTAAGGGATGCCAGGATAGATCCTCCAATCCAGACACTGTACTTTCTCTCCGGAGGTGCAACCACTTTGATCTTCATGCTACTAGGAGCAAGAGCAGTAATTTCCTTGCTCATACGGTCTGCAATACCAGGGAACATGGTTGAACCACCACTGAGAACAATGTTACCATAAAGATCCTTCCTAATATCAACGTCACACTTCATAATAGAGTTATATGTGGTCTCGTGAATTCCTGCAGCTTCCATTCCAATCAGAGATGGTTGGAAGAGGACTTCGGGGCAACGGAATCTCTCAGCTCCAATTGTAATGACTTGCCCATCAGGCAATTCATAGTTCTTCTCAACAGAAGAACTGCTCTTTGCAGTTTCAAGCTCTTGCTCATAGTCAAGGGCGACATATGCAAGCTTTTCCTTCATGTCACGGACAATTTCCCGTTCGGCTGTGGTGGTGAACATGTAACCTCTTTCAGTGAGGATCTTCATGAGGGAATCTGTGAGGTCGCGGCCAGCAAGGTCGAGACGAAGGATGGCATGGGGAAGGGCATACCCTTCATAGATGGGCACAGTGTGACTCACACCATCACCAGAGTCCAGCACAATACCTGGTCAAGGATAAACCAAATCAGTGTTAGAACTGAAAGTAACAATATAGAAGACAAGAATTCAAATTAAAAGAGTAACTTATACGAACCAGTTGTACGACCACTGGCGTACAGAGATAGCACAGCCTGGATGGCAACATACATAGCAGGAACATTAAAGGTCTCGAACATGATCTGAGTCATCTTCTCCCTATTGGCCTTCGGGTTGAGAGGTGCCTCTGTGAGAAGAACTGGATGCTCCTCAGGAGCAACACGAAGTTCGTTGTAGAAAGTATGATGCCAGATCTTCTCCATGTCATCCCAGTTGCTGACAATACCGTGTTCAATGGGATATTTTAAGGTCAAGATACCTCTTTTGGATTGAGCCTCGTCACCAACATAAGCATCCTTCTGGCCCATCCCAACCATAACACCAGTGTGTCTGGGTCGGCCAACAATACTGGGAAAAACTGCCCTGGGAGCATCATCACCAGCAAACCCTGCCTGCATGTGGAACACAGTACAAGTTACAAAAAATGAGAATCCGTTGAAGGACTAGAATAATTAAGACCAACTACAGTACATGAACCAAAGGCGTCTACTAACCTTCACCATCCCAGTTCCATTGTCACAAACGAGGGGCTGAATGTCCTCGGTGTCGGCCATTTTCTATATAACTGCAAGATGGAAGTATTACATTAGACACAGTTAAAAGCTCCAGTCAGAACATCAATAAAAACTTTTTCTCAACAAATTTCATGATCAGTCAGTGATTTACATCAGGTGTATGCAACTTTTGTGAGGTAAAGACAAGGGCCTTTTCATCAGAACTCCAAAACATGATTTCACATATGATCATACACTTAAAGAGTGAGGAAGAAGCTCTAATTGTTGAATTGTTTATTTCCTTGTGAAGCTAAATTGAATGCAATTCAATCACCAAAAATGGAAATACAAACAAAATAAATATACGTAAAGCATAATGCCCCAGAGTCTAACAAAGTATTTGTTTGTTAAAGGTATGCCAAACTGCTCTTCCTTGTCGTACTTAATTACAAAAATGCTTCCTTAGCCAAAGATATCCGTAATCCATATACTTAATAATTGTTTCCCACTGGATTACAAAACAACAGCATTAAAAAATTCTAAGGCCTGATACCATCATCCATATAAAGAGTCTACATAAAGAAGCACTTATCTACAGTTCTTAAAACTTATTACTACCAGATCGCCTAAAATCTAACATGAACACAAGCTAGGTTCAATTGCAACAGAAACTAATGGTTACTCATGGATCTGCGAGAAATAAATTGCTTGCACTCCATAATAGAGTAGATCCGTGGGAAATAAAAAAGTAGATCTATAGGCAATTGAATCAACTCACAATAGAGTACTAGACAGAGTAATCCGAAATGAGATTTTATCCACACACACACACACGAATAAATACATAAAATAATCCTAGATCGATGTTCCAACAGCATCAAACTAGCATTCTTATACACTCAAAAACCAACAGATCAAACTATTAGATCATTACATCCGAGCGATAGTGAACATCAACAACAAATACGCAATTTACGCCTATAGTACCAACTTAAATCTCTATTACAAGTTAGCAAAGATCCGATCTTAAGCACAAAATCAAATTTCTCAGAGGCACTTCACAGATCTCTCTCTCAACAAACATTTAGAGCAGAATCTGATCAACAAAAATGTCAAATATAGAAATCGAATCTAAGAAAGAAAAAGTTAGTCGAGAATAGATCGTAATAGCTTACCTCTGATGCAGAGACGAGGACGAGAGAGAAAGAAATCGAAGTCTTGATGGATGGATCGATCGAAGAATAACAGAGACAGAGCCTAAACCAACCTCCGCAGACGATGGCTGGCACCTCTCTCTCTCTCTCTCTCTCTCTGTGGAAACGCCAAAGCAAACTGGAGTGTAATAAGCGGCAAGGTGTGTATATAGGAGAGGCTTTAGAAATTTGTAATGCACATGAAATGAAAACCAAACTAAAATTTAGGGAGAATTACACTCAATTTTTTTAAAATTTGTCGTTTAATCACTCAGGCCCCTTAATATTTAAAATATTATACACAGAACCCCTAAAGCATGTACGCGCATATCATTTGGACTTCTGCTGTAAATATATCGGTTAATAAATTACATCTAGACTCCCTTAAAGTTTGTACGCATACAATACTTAGATTTCTTAATTTAAAATATTATACTTAGATCAAAAATATTTCAATCAAATATAGAATATTAAATATTTTAAATTTTACAACCAAAATTCATGTTCTATTGTATCATTTATTAAAATAAAATCAAAAATAAAAATTCAAATTTTTCTTAAAAAATTGTAATTAGCATACAATTATACTATCTATTGGAATAAAACTAAAAAATTAAACAAGGGTTCTACGTTATTTTTAATAGAACATGAATTTTAGAACTAAAATTCATATTCTATTATGTCATTTATTTAAATAAAATCAAAAATAAAAATCTATTTTTTTTAAAAAAAACATAGTTAGTATACAATTATAATATCTATTAGAATAAAACTAAAAAAATTAAATATGTGGTCAAATTGTAATTAACACAATATCTTTTATTTTCAATTGGGATAGTTTGTTATTTTAATTTAGTCGTTTAAACAAAAAAATTAAATTCCAATAGACAATATAATTGTATACTAATTACAATTTTTAAGAAAAAAAATTAGATTTTTATTTTTATTTTTATTTTATTTTGATAAATGATATAATAGAACATGAATATTAATTGTAAAATTTAAAATATTTAATATTCTATCTTTGATTGAAGTATTTTTGATTTTAATATAACATTTTAAACTTAAGAGGTTTAAGTAATATATGTTTACAAACTTCAGGAAGTCTGAATGTAATTTATTAATGGATATATTTAAACCAGGGGTGTAAGTGTTACGCGCATATAAACTTTAAGGGGTCTGAATGTAATACTTTAAATATCAGGTGGTCTGAGTGATTAAATAACAAATCTCAGGAGATGTGAGTGTAATTCTCCATAAAATTTATTATTATTCTATTTTAGAGAGAGAAATGATTGTGAGATAGGTATTATATACATTATTTTAATCATTTTATAATTATATTAATTAATTATTATAATTTAATACTAGTTATTGTCAGCACTTAAAGGTACGGGGAGTAATAAAAAAATTATCAATAATAAACATATTTATATTCACACCCGAAATTAAATCACAAATATAGAGAGATAAAGGAATTTAAGCCCCGGTTGTAGTGGGGTGGGCAACAGTGGTGATGGTCGGAGACAGAGATGGTTGTGGTGGGTAGCGACAATCGTGGTAGGGTTTGCAATCATGGGTGGCAACGGTGATAGTGGTGGTGGATTTTTGGAGACAAAGGTGATAGTAGCAGTCTTGGGTGAAAATGGTGGTGATGGTGAGTATGGGTGGTGGTGGGCGACGATAATGGTAGTTGGTAGTGGTGAGGCGAGGTCCGTGGTGGTAGCGATAGTTGGTTGTGGTGGTGGGCGGTGACGATGGTGGTGGTGGGTAACAACGGATGTTTTTAGGCGACAATGTGATGGGTGATGGTGAATGGCGGTGGTGGTAGGTAAGGTGGGGGGTGATAATGGGTGGCGACGGTGGTGGGTGATGGTAGGTGTGGTAAGAGTGGTTGACAGTGGCCCGACGGTGATGGTGAGTGACAACAAGTGGTGGTGGGTTGTGTGGTAATGGGTAGCGGTGGGTGGTGGTGGACAATGATGGTGATGGTGGGTGTTGACTGTGGACAACAGTGGTAGTGGAAGGATGGTGGTAATGTAATAAATATAAGAATGAGATGACGATTGTGGTGTGTGGTGACTGGTGGCGGTGGACGATAGTGGTAGCAATTAGTGGTGGGTGGTGATGGTGGTGGTTATGGTAGAGGTGGTGATGGTTAAGGCGACAATGATTGTGGTAGTGGTGATGGTGGTGGGGCGGTGGTAGTGGTGGAGGTGGGGTGGTTCTAAATACTATTTTTTTTAAAGTATTTATGAGAAGTTATAAATTCTAAACTCACTTTTGAAAAGTCACATTAAACACACCTTTAGGAGCCTATTTTTCTTATTAAAATTTGGGAGTTAATATTAGTCGTCAGATTAACTTTAAAGTAAAATTTAAAGAGATCTCAATTACAAAAAAAATAAATTATTTTGTTTATCTGTTGAGATTTAAATTTTGTTGTATTTTATTATATAGATATTTACTTAAGTTTTGTCGATCAAGGATTGGTTCCTGTTTCTATTATTTGGTTTTTCTCTATATCATGTGATATATCCTGTTATTGTAATTATAAATCACTTGCTTATTACTTATCTATATTATTATAACATGTCAACAAAAGTGAAAAACTTTTATTTGACTATAATATCCTTAACAGACCAACTAATTTTATTGATCAATCTTTCTTTCATCTTTTTCAATTAATTACATAATTCACTCAACCTTTTATCTTCTTCAATTAATTGTCTACATAACTCTTTTGATAAATAAATATATTCATATATAACGGCTTTTCTACATAATTCTTTGATGAACAATTGTCTACATAACTCTTTTTCTATTTTACCTAATATAATTCTACAATCTCTCTCTTTGCATTGATGAGGCAATTGTAATTGTTGTAGACTTTCTCTATGCTATTAGTTTTGAAAGTTGAAAGTTACAACGAGTGTTGATAGTAAACCTTTGATTTCCAATAATAAATTTCATGATGTAAATAATGACAACATTTAGCTTTTCATATTCTCCTCCATCACAATTGTATATGCACTGGTTGGATTTAAGCAATAGATTAAAAGGTTGGGAACTAAAAAGTTTTCCTTTGGAGGAGATATAAGATATGAGGGAACCCTTTTAGTTATTCTTTTTCCATGTTTCCAGAATCCATACTTGTCTGATGTAAGATCTCCCTCATCACAATCCATTCATCTACTCTGATCGAGCAAACTAATTTGCCAGGTGTATATGTTTAAAGGTTTCCTCAAGTACTTCCTTCATTATTGTTTCCTTTCCCAAAAATTTGTTCGTAGAATTGAAATTATTGGCAAAAGTTTGATCCTTAACTTAAATTGTTTGTAGAATCCTCATCATGGATAGTTTTTTTTTAAAATTTTTTTGTGCTATTGGAAAAGTGGATGATTTGTATATAGGTAGCATATGAATTAGTATCTCTTGGTATTGTATAGTTCCTTTTGTTGTCCAAGTGTGGAGAAAATTAAGAATTAAGTAAATTTAGAATTTTATCTGTTTCTTGTTGATTATTATATATAATTTGGTCAAATTATATTTCATAATATTTTCAATTCTTATAGGATAGAGTATGTCTTTTTTTTTTTTTCGTTTTGTCAATCAGTATGATGAATTGAAGAGGGCACTTCTAATAGTTTTATTGTCATTCTATTATTTTAGATTTACAAGATGTATGATTAATACTCTTGTGTCGATTTGTCTCTATGTTGTCTCTACTATTACCTGCCTTTGTTCTTTCTGTCTGTGTCTTTGCCTATGTGGGCACGGGCATGTACCTACTTCCTTATTTTAGCACTTCCAATATTTGTCCCAAAAGGCTCAAGTAGTTGGAAGTGTTAAAGAGAATTGTTGGAAAGACAACAAAGTTTATCTCTCCCTCTTGCTCTCCTTATTCTTTGTAGATAGACAATAAATATTTCAAGGACTTGATTATATAAATGTTGATAAATTTCTTTAATGTCATGTCGTAGACGGTTGTATCTTTAAATTTTTATCTTCTTTTTTTCTTCGCACTAACGTTAAGAGAAAAATTAAGCTTCTTTGGTATTCCTTCAGTCAAGCAGATGCCTGATGAGCAACATATAAATAACAATTACATGCATAAAACATGTACTAGAAAGATTCAACTGGACTCTTCTAATCTTAGGATTCTCTTGGCTTCCATCTCGGTAGTAATATGTGTGATTAGACAATATGTTCAAATGAGTGCCTTGATTGTGTTATAGCTAGTCTTCCTTGAGGAAAATGTCAAATACATTTACTTATGGATTAATGTTATTTTAGTGTCAAGGTTAAAGAAACTTATGGCTTGAAATCACTGAAGAGTCTCAATTATTATCCAATTTGGATGATGAGAATTTTGTATTTGGTGCTAAATAAGAATTACTTGAGTTTAAATTTAAATTTCGATAACACGTATCTGCATATTATTGGATATGTCTATCCAATGTCTAGGTTGTTGCTATAAAGAAGGTAAGGAAGGGTATCAGGGTTTAATAATGGCTATTGTGAGGCCAATCCTTTAGGGAATTCATCATGCTTAATGCTAATAAACTGTTCTACCTTTCTATTCAGGGTAGTGGAGTAATTGTAGAGGTCCTTTAGCAATGGGAGTTCCTAGAAATGAAGTGTTAAGCTCTTCTAATTATTGTTTATTCATTTGTATATACAATTATTTTACCTCTATCTCCAAAATATGAGAATATAATTTAGTATTTATGCCCTTGATATTAATAATCAATTTATAATTTATCGCTTATGCTTGCATAGGGATCCTTAGTCTTCGGTGCTTAATTGTACTTTTTTTATTTGTCCCTTCTTTTGGGTGGATGTAATTGGAGTATTCAGTATTGAAAATTTTAGACGGCGATCAAAGGTGATAAAGTCTTTTACCCTCACCAAACTTGAAGCAAGGAAATTCGAGTACCCAATTATTGGGACAAAAACACTTAGCAAACACACAAAACATGTACATCTGTTAGAGTATATGTGACTCATATTTGTTGTGTGCATAATGGCAAGGAGGCAGATGCCGGAGTGGGTGGAGTGGAGCGAAGCGGAGCCCACGACGACATCTGCCTTGCGGGATTGATATATTTTATGTATGGGGGGGATGCTGATTAGTTGGGTGTGCGGAGGCAACGCCCCCGCAGTACGGTATAGAGTT